AAAAAAAAACCCAGCAAGAGATGTTTCACCCCAGCAACAACAGCCAAGTTCAACAGTGCAGCAAACAGCATGCTGGAGAGGGTGTGGTGAGACCCACGCGCGCACGTCACGTGTGGGAAGGTAAGATGGTACAGGTATTAGGAAAATCAGTTTGGTACTTCTTAAAAGGCTGAAAATAGGAGTACCATGTGATTGAACTATATTCCACAGCTATGAAGATGCCCAAGAGAAGTAGGGGCTGTAACACAAACAGATTTATGCCCACCCAGATTACTGCAACATTCTTCACAACAGCAAAGAGATGGCAGCAACCCAAATGCTCATCCGTGAATGAAATGACAGAGAAACTATGACACATTCACCCAACAGAGTCTTTTATTTCACAACACTGACAAACAAGGGAGAATTCATCAAACACACACCACGGGTGGGCCGGAGGACATCATAACAGAGAAATGGTGGTCACAAAAGGACCAATATCCAAGACCACTGCTGTCAAAAGCTAGGGAGTTCTGAGGGGTGAGGAGTTAAGTTGCACTGACAAAGGGAGGTGGTTCAAATACACTAGCTGCTCTAAGGGTGAAAGACAACCTCCTACTACGCAATTTAGAGCCTCTGAAAATCCAACAGAGGGTCAGCCACAAGCTGCTTCCACTTCAACAGCAACGAGATGAATTGATAAAAAGCTAGAGAAAGGCTGGTGGGCTCTGGTGGCCTAGTGGCAAGAAGCTGCACTGCAATCCCAGAGGTGAACAGTTAAATCCACAAGATGCTCTGCTGGAGGAGGAGGGACAATCTCCTCCTGTAACAGTCAGATCTGATTTGACAGTGTACACACACACACACAAGAATAAAGTAATTTTTAAAAAAGCTAAGAGAAAGGTTTACATACAGAGAGATGCAATCTAATGTGGTCATCAGGGAGCAAGAGAGCAGAGTAGAAAATGAACTGATGGACAATGAACACCACTTATAGGGAGGGATGAAGGAAGGACAATGAGACAGACAGACAATCAGACTGGGTGTGTACTGTAGTTAACCTTATGAAAGAAAAGGTGCATAAAGAAAAAAGAAGGCAATATGCTTCCAAACTTTCACTCAAATCATAATGTATTTTTTTTTTTAAAAAAAGTAACAGAGCAGGAGGGTAGAGTGGTGGAGAGAGGAAACTGCTGCCTGGCAGAACAGCAGGGCGTGCCCAGAGCTCAGCACACAGTTACCGACGTTCTCCGGCACCCTGCCTGCTTTCAGAGCGGGATCCCAGGCGCCAGGGAACACACGCCTCCTGGTATTGCACCAGCCCCACTGACTGCTGTGACTCAGACTGTGTGAATCACTGGCTCCTTTTCAGCCTATCACCAGGCTTTCTTCCTAGCTCCTCTTAGTGCAGAAGTTCTGTTCAAACATGTCCCGTGTCCTAGCAACACACGAGCCTCCACTGACAGCGGGTGATGGCCACGTCTGAGCTGCACTGGCTAACTGTTGAAGCAGAAAGCCCAGCCTCTCTTCCTAGGTCCTCTGGGTCGTAAGGCTCTGCTGAAACCTGCCAATAAATGTGCCACAGAGATGGGGGCAGCACAAGAGGTACACTCACAGGGGATCAAACCCAGGTCGCCGACATTGAAGCAGAGTGTTCCACCATCGATCCACCATGGACCATCCTTCTGCTGGGTCACCCTCATTCGACAGAGACAGAGGAGGTGCCCTGTGGCCACCCTCACCCTTGTAACCAAAACTCAGCACACTGCCAGTTGATTCTGATACCCAGAAACTCTAGAGGACAGAGCAGAGCTTCCCCCAGAGGCCTGGGTTGTGATCTTTCTGCAAACAAGCAGCCTCGTGTTTCTCCCACGAAGCAGCTCGTGGGCTCCTAGGGCTCTGTGGCTGTTAGGTGCCGTCCAGTCGACAGGACAGCTCACAGTGACCTAGGAGCCTTGCGCTACGCGGCACACCCTCACCACCTCTGATGTGTGTGAGCCCACTATTAGACACTGCGTCCACCCTGTTGAGGGTTATGCTTCCTCTCTTTCTCTGAGCCTCTCGGCCTGTCCCAATAGGATGTCTTTTCTCCCAAAAACTGGAGTTGATAAATTCATTCCATCTGGGGGTCCCGAATCCCCTAAGATAAAGGACTCAGAATTTAAATAAGGTTCCATCCTAAAGCCACATTTGTCCACAAAACCCTCAACCGGGCGACCACATCTCTCAGGCTGCAGTTTTCAACGCCAGAATTTCTCCTGAAGATAAATGAGCTGGGCCAGGTAAGGGAGGTGCCAGCACCAGCTAAGGGCCCAATCAGCATCAGCTTTTACAAACATGAAGGAGCTCGGGTGGCAGAGCATGTAATGTGCTGCACTGCTAACAGAAAGGTCAGCAGTTCGAATACACAGGAGAAAGACGGGCAGTCTCCTCCTATTAAGATTCACAGCCTTGGGAGCCCGAGGGAAGGTGGCTGTTGAGTCAGAACCAACCTGAGGGCTTCTTGTTGTCATTATACACCATCAAATCAGAAATGACTCACAGCTGTCCCTCCAGTGCGTTGACAGAGGCTGTAAACTGCCTGAGAGAAGACCACCTCTCTCCCACGCCACAGCCGATGGACTCAAACCACCTGCCTTTGGGTTGGCGTGCAACTCCTTACCCACTAGGCCACCAGAACTTGATGGCCGAGGGGAATGCGTCAAGGCTGCTAACCATAAGGTCAGCACTTGGAAGCCATCAGTGGCTCTACGGAAGAAAGACGGGCAGTTTCTTCCTGTAAAGATTTACTGCCTTGAGACTCAGTGCAGGGTCACCAGGAGTCACATCAACTCTGAACCCTCTCAACAGGAGTCCCTGGAAGCACTATGATTAAGTACTTAGCTGCTTAAGTTCAGTAGTTCAAACCCACCTGCCTCTCTGAGGGAGAATGAGGCATCTGCTTCTGTAACCACTCTGGCCTCGGAAAATTTATGGGTCAGAATGACCCCGCCCTATACAGCCACTAGGAATTGGAATCCACTTAGCAGTGGGGTTTTGTGTTTGGGTTCTCAGAGAGGTTATGTCACTTGTCACACAGCTAGAAAGTGGCAGAAGCAGGAAGTCAATCAGATTCTGA